CTGAAAGTGTGAATTTATAAACTAAATTCGCAGGTTAAAAATTACTTTCTAAGCTAAGCATTACAAGAAAGTTGCATTTAAAAACCATCATTTGGTGGTCGAAATATTTGAAATATTAAAAAATATTAAAAATATTTCAAATATAATTAGTAACACAACCAATAAAGTTCAAGGTTATTAAAAATCCATCACAAAAGATTCAGATTCGTCAACTTAACTCGCCCTTAAAATTCTGTTTACCTTTCTGGCAATTCAATCTGTTCTTTTGTTATTTTTTTTTTCTTTGTCGATCCTTTCTTGACCACAATATGCATATCCTTACGCATACATAACATATATAGACGATAAACCTACCTCGCCAGGGCGGGCGCTTATCGCAGCTTAATAAAAAATCCAATCCAATTGATGGGATTGAATCTTTTGTTTGTGCGTTACCTTGCGCCGCCTGCCTCCCAGCAGCAATTGATGTTCTTGTTACCGTTGTTGTTTCATTTGCCATTGTGGTCGTTGTCCTTATTGTCCTTGTTATTGTTGCTGTTATTGTTGTTGCCATTGTTGTACATTAAGCTGGTAATAATTGTAAAAAGATTAAAGGGAATTTTAATTAAAAATTATATTTATTTGATTTAATTTTTATTGGCGCTTTTTAAAAAGCCATTTAACGACTTGGGACACACACGCCGACACACACACACACACACATACAAAGGGATTGGATTGGCCAGGGAATGGTATAAGGATGAGGATGATGTCAGTGGGTGGGTGGGCTCTTCTGTATACGCGCCTGCAGTCGAGTGGCTTCCACGTTGGGCGCCATATAAGTGTGAATTCAACAACGCAAGGAAATTAATCTTAAGCCGCAGACAGCGAAAAGCCAAAAATAAATCAACAATGCAATAATTTATCAGAAAATATGTGTCCATTGCAGTCTCTCTTTCTCTCTCTCTCTCGCTCTGTGTGTGTGTGTGTGTGTGTGTCTGCGCTCTCTCGCTCCTTTGTCATTTTGCCTTTCGCTTTGTCTGTGGCTGTGTGTGTGTGTGTGTGTGTGTGTGGTTGCAGCGGGCAAAAGTATGCAACAGTGTTTGCGTTTGAATTTGGAGCGTCAGCAGAATGAGTCAGCTGAATATATCAAGAGCACGCACACTCGTACACACACTCGCACACCACCACCACCACCATCACCACCAGCCGGTACTTAAGTATCTGTAAAATCCACTGTCATGGCAACGCAATGGACAAAAACAGCATTCACATGCACATTCACACTCACATTCATACTCACACTCACATTCTCATCCACAACAGCAGCAGCATCATGGGCCCGACGGAAACGAGACTGTGGGAAAACGAAATATGAGCACCACCACCAGTCCACGACTCTTGACTCTAGCTATCTGTGTGTATGTGTGTGTGTGTGTGGGTGAGTGTAGTGTGTGTGGTAAAAGTGTTGGTGCACACACAGACACACACAGGGATGTCAGAACATGTTGAAGCTATTGCGGCGCTCAGGTTCAGGTTGGTGGCCAGGCTCGTTGCCAGTTCATGAATCAGTAGCAGGGACCAAGTCAGTTAGTCACTCAGCCTTACAGACGGACGGACTGCCGCCATACGGACAAACGGACTAACGGACATAGGGACATATGGACATACTCCCATACGGACAAACGGACAAACAGTCATGGGCCCACGTTAGTCGTCAGTTGGCAGTCGGCAATCAACACCAACTCACTCTTGCCATGTTCCCAACTCCATGCTCCATGCTCCATATGTGCCGTATTCCGTACTCCATATTACGGATTCCCAACGCCTGACTCCTTACCCGCCTCCTTCTCCTGCTCCTCCTCCCCTTCCAATGTGTTTGCGCATTTGCCTGTTTAAAATGTTGCTGCTTCATTATCTGGCCAGGGCAGGGCGCAGCAGCGCTGGCTCAGCTCCGGCGGCTGTTGGCCATTGCCCATTGGCCATTGGCTACTGGCCAGGTTGAATGTCGGAGTTAGAATCCTAACTACACTTGAAAAAAACACGTTAGGATTTTAGTTTTTATTTGATGAATAGAAGGGTTTATGGTGGTTTCTGTAATTAGAACTTCATTAAGATTAAGTCTTTCACTTATTTTGCCTCTTTTATTGATCTTAAGATCAAACACCCTTTTTTTCAGTGTATTTGGTAACACACACACTCAGTAGTTGGCAGAAAACAAAAGCCACTTAGTATTTCTCCTGCCGTTGGTCTTCATTTTGGCACGATTAAAATGTTATTTAATATTGCTGAACTTGCTTTGTAATTTAAGCAATTTAAACGAATAAAAATTAATCAAATTTAAATAAGTTAAAGCTAGGCTGAGGCAGGAATATATATTTATAAAATTAAGTTAGTTTTAAGCAAGTTTAGCAAAGAGTTAAAGAGTTTTAAAAGTTTGCTTAAATCAAGATTTTTCATGGTTAAACGAATGATCGATCAGTTTATAAGTTCGACACAATAACTTATAGTAACCCATCTAGCTTTTACAGTATTAACACCTAATTTCTCTGTGTGTAATAATGTGGGAACAATTTTCAGCACCTTGCCAGAACGCCGCTATGGTCGGTACCGTCCGTCCGTCATCCGCAACGCTGTCTGTCGTCCTTGTCTTTGTCATCAAGGGGCCATTGGCGCATCCTTGTCGTCGGTGTTGGCCGTGCTCGCTCGCATGTTCATATTCCCCATTTCGCAGCTCGCATCCTCTTCCCTTTCCGCTGGCGTTGCACAAATTGCTTAAATTATGCAAAATATGCGCGCCACATCATTCGGGCTGCTGCTGCTGCCGTTGCTGTTGTTGCTGCTTGCCCCTCATGATGCTATCCCTTCGATTCCAGCCATATCTATCCCTGCCACACTGACACTACAACAATGCCACCAACACTTTCAAATTCATTTTCGAAATTGATGAAAGTTGAGTGAAAAGTGTTAGAATGCGTGTGACTGTTACTGTGACTGTGACAGTGTGTTTGGGTCTGGCCACAAAATCCATGACGAGATCTCGACTTTGAAGTTGTTAATGGGATCGATAGGTATATAGCAGGTGTGGTGTGGTCTGGTGTGTCCCCCCAGCATAGTCCTTGTTCTGGGCTTTCCTTTCCCCCCCGCCCCTGTCAACGACAACATCCTGCCTCTCGACACGCTTTGTATTCACAAATCCAATCCAATTTGAGAGTGTAATTACATCAATTAAACTTAATCAAACTGTTTCAAAGTGAGAGCGCCACGCAAATGAAAACGAAAAGGAAAGCCAGCAGCCATGGCCCGTGCCCGCCAGCACAGTGGGGCCAAGACTGATAATTATAATATAAAATTTTAAATCAGTGTTTAAGTTACTATTAAGATAGTGAGTGTAAGAAGTTAGCACAGAGTGGTATAGAGTTAATCAGAAATATGATTATAATTAATAATTCTTTCATTGAGTTCTTGTATTTTGATTAATCGATGGCAAATGCTCATTCATAATCACATCATGACTGCCCTACGAAAACTGCTGCCCTTTTAAATGAAAATTTCCAGGAAATTAGGTTAATTAAGAGGGAGGGTTTAAGGTAATTAATATGTTAACCTATATAGTAAATTCAAAAATTAACTAAACTGAATTTTTAGATAAGCTCTTTACTCTGCTTATCACTTACCATGTTAGGCACTTCATAATATTAGGTTGTCAAAAAAGTCTTGCGGTATAAAATTGGATACAATAATGCGATTCAAGTCAAATATGCGCCGTTTTGTTCGATGACGCGTTCCCAACGAGATGCCAACGTTCATAATGCCCTTCTCATAGAAGCTCGCTTCCCTATTGGCAAAAAACGTGGCGGAGCGTGGCCCATCTTCGACCACCTCTGCACCAGAACGAAAACGTTGATGCCATCGTTGTGCGGTGGAAATGGAAACTGTTTTGGGTCCATAAACTGCACAAACTTTATTGGCGGCTTGAGATGCATTTTTGCCTTTATCGTGGTAGTACTGTAAAATATGCCCTATTTTCTCTTTATTTTGCTCCATGATTGCGACGCTATAACTCACGAACGACTTAAAAGAAAAGAAAATCAATCAAACACGTGTTAACGCCTGAAATGAGCTTTCCAAAAAGGTATGACCTGATGCGACTACCAACTTTACTACCGACTTTTTTGACAACCTAATATACACAAAATCTCATAATTTTAGCTACATAGCAAAACAGAAATTTTCAAATCAAAATTTCAAATTTGTTTCAAATTAAGTTAGCCGTGCCTTTTATTTTCTCATAAGGTTTGTTCAGTGTCACGAAAAGTTAGTTTACATCCCAACTCCATGGGGTAAGGATCGAATTCGGAAAAAAATTAATAAAATGTGTAAAAAAGAAACAAAATTTCAACTTTATTTTCAATCGAGTTAGCCTTGCTTTTTCCAACTGTAAAGACGCGTGATGAGTGTCAACCAAAATTTAGTTTACTTCCGAATTCCGTACAGTAAATATCTAATTGTGCTAGAAAAAACATAAATAATAAATATAAAGTAAATTAAGGAAGTTTGCAAAACAAGAAAATGTAAATGTGTTACGCCTTCCTTTCAGTCTCAAAACCATAATGTAAAATTGAAGAAAGGAAGAAAGCTGTTGCATGAATGTGAATGAGTAAAGATTTGTCCAGTGAGAAGTTAGTTTTCTCCCTAATTCCTTGCGGCGGAGATCTAAATCGTTCCCAATAAATAAACAATGAACACAAATTAAAAGCTAAAACAGATCACCCTCATTTCGGCAACTCTGTAAATTGTATTGATCGAATATACTCGTAAATATCGATAATCGGAATGTCAAATTGGTTAGCCCTATCCATACATGTCACAAGTTTAGAAGTGCAAAGGCATTTATTTTTCGGCCACAAGCTAATACATTTTACAATATTATAGACCTTCTTATTGAAAATTAAAAACCTTCAAAAAAAAAAAAACAACTAATCACTAAAGTTCTCTCCATTTGCTCATTATATTTATAGGAAATTGAATCTCCAAGACAGAAGCTGCAGCCGACTATGTCTCATTGGAATTGAAATGTTCGGATTATTGAAAGACCATAAAATCGAAGACTAGAGAAGCTGGAATGCTGAGGAACAAACGATAGGATCAAAGCATACAAAACCCAATCTTCACGGCTGCACCCAGAAATTACAGTGGTGGGGGTACCCCAAAACCGAAGATCTGTGTGAAGTTAGAACTTGGGATAGTTCATGGGTTCTGAGGTCCACTCACTAACTGCAGTCCTGGATGCCACTGCTCTTGCTGGTGTTCAGGAGTTGCATTTTACTAGAGTGCAGTTCCAGGATTGGACATTTATGAGTGGCACTGATGGCAGTTTGGATGCATTCTTGACAAATAGAAAACGTGTCCGCATTTTAAAAGGGACAGGCTCCGACTTGCTCAGCTTCCAATGCAGACCGCGCCTTTGTCATAGACCTCATTTTCTTTGCCAGCTCGGTATCGCGTTGGGCCCCACTGAACTGTTGAGCGACGTCGGTTGGAAGGTGGAGTAAAGTAGTATAATGACTCCTTTGCTCCATCGTCCAATCGTCGTCCCTGTACAGTTCAGCGTTTGCCCATCTCGATCCCGAGCTGTCACAGAGAGAGAGGTCTGTCACAGTTGCCCCGTCTGCATTGCAAGCTGTAAACAAGTAGGAGTCGGTGCCTTTCAAAATGCGACACGTTTTTTGCTGGTAATACTCCTTACTCCATCATCCATTCTGGTCGGCTCCCCGTTCTTCTTTGAACTGGTGACGCATACTACGTGGCACTACGGTTATGACCCACTGCCGTTGGTAGAATCCGAGACGCAACATGGTTGCAATGGCTACTAGTGCGATCAGAATCTTCTTTTTGGGAAAGTGATCTAAGCTGCGAGACGGACAAGTTGGCTACAGACAATGAGCTATTGTTCTGTGGGCACTGCAGAAAGTTGGATCCATCGGCGGAACTGTCACTGATGCTGGTTGAATTGGAAGACAATGGTGATCTTTTACCATGCCAAAAGGTAAAAGCAAATATAAGTTTCGTATTTTCGTATTGAACGAAAGAAATAACCCCGCATGTAAAATGCATGCATTTAGATGACCATTGTGAGACCTTGGATCTATGTTTACGTCATCAATAAAAAGCCTGATCATCATTGAAAACGATGGTATGCAGGGGAACATCCAATTAGTCTGGGGATTAGAAGCATTCAAAATTCAAACTGTGGGATCGGCGACATGACAAATGATTACTAACTGGAATCTGAAGGGAAATGACGTGGACTCACTAACTTACAAATCTTGGACTTCGAGTTGCATTCGTTGTATTCCAGTTTCTGGACTCATGTGCTCTTGGTCGATCATTAGCTTGTTTTAGAGTCTAGGAACTGCGACGTGTCGAAGGCCAAGGTTTGTTGATAGTAGATCTAGTCCACGTGATTTTATTCCGGATTCAAGTTGATCTATACTAGCTCGTACCGCTGATTAGCTTTTCCCTTAATGTAAGTCTGTGGTTGTGAATTCGTAAAAAGACAAAGACCCTTGTATGATAGTTACATCATTTAGCTATCACCTTGATTTAGTTACTTATCATTAGTCGGACAGTTTTTGCTAATTTCCCCGTTTCGTTCCAATCAGTCAGTTTCGTTGGAAAACCTCCTTGACCCCACCTCGCCAACCCTATATATCACACACTTATGAAAATTCACGTTCTCGAAATTTGCGCACACTAATTAAGCGCTGCCAACTAAGTAAAGTAAGTTGCCCCATGAAGACCGGTGACTGGGGGGAGGCAGGCATATGATAGGAGGAGAGGCCCTCATCTTGGTGGAGGAGAGATGGAAACCCACTCGTCACTTCGTCTGCCCCGGGCATCAGCAGCATCCTTCGCCTTTGCTTCATATAATTTATGTTGCATTTGCTGGCTGGCTGGCATAACTTTGGCTCGACTCTGTCTTGGTCTTGGACTCCAGACTCCTACTCCTGCCACTGCTCCTTCTCTTGGCTCCTTTGACTTGAAGTAGTACTGTCAGTTAGTCAGTCAGTGGCGGGCCAGTCACTTTGAGTTCCATATCAAGTTCCAACACACACACACACACCCTACCCCATCCAGCACACCTGAAGGAGTGGCGTGCGCCCAAGACCCGAGCCCGAGGTGAGATGGCAGAGAATATGGCACGTGACTTAAATAAATTGCAAAAATCTTTCTCACAGCACATCCTTCGCATAGTTTGCCATTTTCCTTCAAATTTTTTTTTCCTTTCGTTTTTGGCTGGCAAGAGCTTGGCTGGCTGCTCCTTGGCCTTTGTTGCTCGCCAAACGGCGGCATTTATGTAGACGCCTTCGTGGGCGTGTGTTTTCATGACTTTATTAGCAAGCAGCTTGAAAAGTTCCCTCGAGCACCAGGTCGCCACCTGTCGGCAGGCGAAAACTTTCGCACACATACACAGACGCACGCACACATAATCAACACCTAATCAAAGTAATAGAAACTTATTGGATTAATCGCTGTATAGAATTTCTATTTGCCGATCAAAGGCAGTGTCCGTGTCTGTGATTGTGGTGATTAGAAGGCTAAAAGGGAGTGAGGAGGTGGTGGGTGGTAGGAAGTCCATTGCCCCAGGGCGATACTAATTATGCAACTTCTCGGACCCACTCTCAAAGTCTCTTTCCTTCTCAAATCTGGATGGCAGTCGTGCTCTAATCGTCAAAATTGGAAAATCTCCAGCCACCGATGACAGCTGTCAACGGCGGGGATGACAATGGCAATGCAATCTAGCCATCAATTTTGATTAGGCGGCTTCCATTCGGTTTTGCTGGTGATTTTCTGGTGATGATGAGGCCGATGACGATGACGATGACGATGCCAGTGCCTGCCAGTGTTTGGGTGATGTTTGAGGAAGAGGAGTAGTTGATAGCTCGAGTCGATAATTGAAATTATGCAACTGCTGACAACTTTGACGGCAAATGGCTATGGACAAGAACAAGGACAAGAAGCAGGCGTCAGGCAAGCAAGCAAGCAAGCAGCCGCCACCAAGGATGTCTGCGAAAAGCACTTTACTCATTTTCAGTTTTCTTTCCGGGAAAAACAAAAGAAAATGGGTCGAAAAACAAAAATATGCATGCAATTCGCTTAAGACCAAGCAAATTATAAACTTTGCAAATCTAAAACTAAAGTTTGCATTTTGAGTTTCTTAAACTGAGAAAATCTAGAGGTTCGAAACATTTTCCAGGGAAATTTATTCTTGTATAGATTTATTTTTTAATAATTCGCTAAACTAAGTTTGTTTTATATGGTTTATAGTATTGGGCGTAAAGTTTGTTTACATATTTCTGATCAGGATCTATAGCCTATTGTCCGTTTGATTGTCCGTTTGTCTGTCCGTATGGGGGCTTGGGAACTATTAGAGCTAGAAAGTTGGTTTGAGGCATGCAGATTTTGGAGATGGTTGTGCGGAGTTAGTTTATTTTAGCAGCAAACCACGCCCACTCTAACGCCCATTAACGGAAAAACTTTGTAGTCCGTTAAATTAATGTTAATGTTTTGGTTTGACTTCAAGTTTTCTTATTTCTTCAAAGTCTTTTGATCTACTAGAGTTTAAATTGGAACATTTTTTAACAATTTTCAAAGGAAATAAATTTAAAACTTTTACGGACAGCGGCTACAAGTGAGCAACAGATGGCGCCAGTAAACTGACGTACATGGTGTGACTTCTTGGCCAAACGAAATTTGAAACTGAAGAACAGAGTAAAAGGGAGTAGTGTTTGAGAATAGTAGATTATCAAGTTATCAAAAGTGATCACAGATCTAAGTCGAATTAGTTTTACGCAGAATTTGTTAGAATTTCCCAGGAAATCCAATAATATGTCCACCCATAACCGGCTTCCTTTTAAGCAAACTTAAAGCCCAAGTAGATTTTATGCCAAATCCCCGAAGTGGCTGTAGATGATTCAAAGGGCCAGAAGGCACCACAAGAGATGGGCGAAGACGTTGGATGCTGCATCAGCAGCTAAATCAGCCTTCAAGTCCACCTTTATCTCTCTGTTTCTCCTTCTCCAACCATAACTCGGTCCGGGGGCTGTCGTTTCTGTGTCATCGTTGGGAAGTAAATAAAAAATGTATTTAGACCAAGGCATAATTATACAAATTGGGAATGCAATTAAATTTAATTGTTCCAGCGTTCTTCACAGTCATCTCTCTGTTTGTGTGTGTGTGTGTTGGCTGCATGTGTGCGTGTGCCTGAGTATCTGAGTGTTGCTCAGTTTTTCCATCGTTGGCCCCCTCGTTGCTCCCTCAGTCGATAAAATGTAAAAACGTTTTGAGCACGAACCTTATCTTCCACTGTTGTTGTCCCGCCCGCCTCGCAGAACCTGCTGCTTCTCCAGTCAGCTCCTCCAGCCAGCAGTGTACCCAGTACAAGTGCGCGTAAGTGCCGTAAATAAAACAAGCAGAAATTATAACAGTCCGGGCACCAAAAGGATCTAAAAGGAGGAGTCCAAAGATGGAACAACTAACCCCTGCAACTGCTTCACCCCGATCAAAGGGCTCCAAGGGAGAGCATCTTTTAATGATACATTAGACAGCAGACTGGGCCTATAATGAGGTTGAAAGTGCAACAGCGAAACAAATTGCAAGAAATGAGCCACGTGCCGGCAGGACAATGGTCTGTGGATATACGTTTAACCCCTGGTAGAATAGAAGCAGCCAGGAGATGGCCCAAAAAAAAAACTCCTTTTCTTATTGTCTTTGGTTGTGGCACATTCAGAGTGACAGTTTAGTGCTGTTATCCTACTCGGTTTTTGGTTTGCACTTTAAAAAGTGTTAAAAAATAAGAGAAAAATGTTATAGCCAAGATCGATCCTTATAGGAAATGTGTCATTTCTTTTAATTTAAGGAATGTTTTTGGAATTTTTAAACTTGTTTTTGAGAGAAAAAAATGACATTTCCAATAGCAAGGTTCTACCTTTAAGCCTTGAATCATTCCAAGCTGACCAACATTGGTCACTAAAACTTGGGACGGAAGCTTAAATATTCATTAGTCATGTAGGAGTTGCATTCAAAAAACACTTTTAGGAAAAACATTTAAGGAAAAATATTAAAAATTGCAGTTTGCTACATCAAGAACTTGGTTTCGGAGGAAATTCAAGAAATTTGATCAATATTAAGTATCAAGAAAACTATCATAACATATCTTAAACAAGGATCCAAGGAGTACATCACATATTTATGCATTACCAATCAAGATTTTAACTCTCCTTTTTTCTTACAGTGCATCAACTGAACGGAAACACCGCCGGTGCTGCTGGCTGCTAGCGGAAGTTGTGAGTCTGAATCGGAGGTTCGTGGCATAATATCTTAATTATTTCTTTACATGTGTTTTAATTTTTAGTAAGCACTTGCTTCCCTCGCTTTTCCTGCTCCACTCCACTCGGCTCTTGGAATTTCAGTCACGTGCTGCAACTAATCCCCAGCCCCACACGCGCCTGCCATCTCTCTGAGCCAGAAGCAAGAACCGAGACCAGGAGTTTCCAATGGCAACAGATGAGATGGGCACAAAGACCAAGACGATGATGAGGGGCAAGGATGATGGGATGCTGGGATGTCGGGATGCTCGCTGGCAAAGGTAAATGCCAAAGTAACTAACTGTGTATGCACTCGAGCAGTTGAGGCTGCTCTGGAGAGGATTGGGAGGATTTCGGGTGGTTCGAATGGGTTCTGATGGTCTGATGGGGTCTGGTTGGTGGGTACAAGGGTCGAGTGGTGGTGGCAATGGGAGAGGACAGTCAGCTCATTTGCCGGCTGGGTATGCCTTGGAAATGCTTATGCGGGAGAAAAAATTTTAAAAGATTTTTAAAGGTTTTGCTTAGGTTATTTAGTATTTATAGATCAGGTTATATACTAAATCTTTGTCATTAAATAACATTTTTTAAAGTGTAAAGTGTAAAAGTAGTTCGTGAACTGAGAAATTCTTGTATTTAAAAACAACTTTATGTTAAATTAAACTTCCTAAACTCTCTTTTCAGCCAAATTTCTCTCTTAAGATACTTTTTACCTCTAAATCTCCCCTTCTTAATGTTTATAATACTTCACCTTCAAAGTGTAATTGTGATTTGGTGGCACGCATAAACGATGTTCGAGCTGTCGAGACCGACACTTGCGCCGAGTTTTCTCAATTACTCGGGCCAGGCTCAGCCTCCATCTACTCGTAGGAGCGTCCTCTGCGTATGTTGATTAAACTTAAAAGGAGAATAGGAAACTATAGGGCTGTGTGTGTGTGTTAGTATGTGTGCCCTTGCCAGCGCCCTCTGTTTGTATTAATCCAACATAATTAAGAAATTTAATTAAAGTGCAGCACGCGCTGAATGCGGAATAGCTAGTTTGGCTAGAAGGGAAGAGACGGCAACTAGTCTACGGATTCGGATTCGGATACAGATACGGATTCGGGATTCGGTTTCCAAAATGAGCTGGGAGGAGCCTGGAGTTCTGCCACGCGTCATCCATAAATCGGTAGAATCAGTTAAGCTTTTTCTCACTCTCTTTATAGATTTCTATGAGATATCAAAGTTAAAGATAGATATGAAGAAAGGGTGAAGTTACAGCTCTTAATGACTCTCATTAAGTTAGATCTGTTAGCTGAAAGTTTAACTGATTTTGAGAGTAAGGATACTTACTGTATATCCTTTCTAATGAAGTAACTTTTGGCTCTAAACTATATCTGCTAACAAAGCTATGTGCATATCACAAAAAAAGTGAAAAACAAAATAAAATTGAATTCATTTATGCATTTGTCGCTGAAAAAGTTTTGCTATTTTTTTTTTAATATTTTCTCTAATGAATCAATGTTTTAACCATTTCTAACAGTTTTTTTTGGCTGCTCTCCTTTTGGTTATTTTTTAAAAAATTTCACTGAAATGCAAAGCGACAGAGAAGTTTTGTTTTTTTTTTGTCAAACCAGCTTAACCAGTTTTTGCCACATTTTTAGTAGCTGAAAATATGCATGTTTCTCCCCGATAATTAAAGTTAAAATTGTTGAAAAAAATCACATGGGAAATGTTCATTCATTTTTATATATTGATTTATCTTTCTAATAGGTAGTTAAGATACCTTCCACATACTAAAGTATCTTTTACAAATCATTTAAGATAACTTCTCTGAGATACTAATACATCTCTCTATTGTTAGGCGTGTTGGAGCGTGTTAAGCATTTCCCGTTGATTGTTTGACAAAGTTCCCCAGTGGCCAAGTGGCCCAAGTTGGCACTTCAGCGGTCAGCCAATGACCATCAGACTGGCAGGCATCTGGCAGGCAGGCGAGGTCAAAGATCAGCGCTGGGTGTTAACGTGAACAACGTGGGAGTGGTCGAAAAGCAATCATCGAACGAATCTGGGACTCTCGTTCTCTTGGGCTCCTGGGTAACGAGAATGTGCGAAAATATTGCCGTCATTTCTGCACAAAATATTCATAAATACAAACATAAATAAATGTCGGCAATGGGCACATGTACACACGCACACATATGGGTCTTATGAAGCTGTGTGTGGGTTACTGACTTTCTGTCTATGTGTGTGTGTTGGCCACTTCCCACGCCTCTCACTCCTCACGCTTACCCTGCTTCCTCGCCTCACACATCTCCGTTGAGATTATTACACCTCTTAGTAGTCGTTGATTGAAGGGTAGATTGGCATTGCAGGGGGGGTTACTGACCTTGTAAGGGAGTTCTTTCTGATAAATATGATATGTTTTATCATTCATTATTGTCTGTTAGTATCTTTGCTTAGGCTTAAACACTCTTTAAACCATAATATGGTAATCTACTTTTATTTCATAGGCTTGAGCTGGCTTTTTGGGTTTAAAAATCGGAATGACTCATCTGTATAACCAAGCTGATCAAAAGGATGCGTTTCCGACACTATAAAGTATCAATAGCGAAGTCGATTAAGCCATGTCCGTCTGTCCGTCCGTCTATCCGTGCGTCCGTCCGTCCGTCTGACTGTCCGTCCGTCTGTCCGTCCGTCTATCCGTCCGTCTGTCCGTCCGTCTGTCCGTCCATCTGTCCGTCCGTCTATACTTCTGTTTGTCCGTCCGTCTGTCCGTCTGTCCGTCCGTCTGTCTGTATGTCCGCCTGTTCGTATGAACGCTGATTGAAACTGATTGGAAAGTAGTTGGTTAGAGTCGTTTTAAGATATATCAAGCCGATGTCCATCTTTTGAGTTATTTTGGCGTTTTGATGGTTTTTGCTGCTACTAGTACTTAACCTTGGCTCCTTCGATAAGCAAACTTAAGCTTTCCTATCAAATTTATTTAAATTTCATAGTATTTAGGCTAAGTGTTAAGGAGTAAAATTCGTGACCCTAAAGATTTCTAAGAAATGGCAGTGGAGTATCCTTCATTTTGGTAAACTTTGTCCATAAAATAAGAGTACATTTGGAAATAAGAAGAAATTTGAAGTTTGAATAGAAATTTATAGTAATTTTTAAAACAACATAGAAGAGAGAAAAGTCTATTTAAAGCATTGGTAAAGTTAAAGCTAAACCAAATGATAGTGGAATCGTGGAATCGTGGTAGATTAGCTTGATTTTCGGTCTAAGTTTACGATAACTCTGCGTATGTTTGATAAACTTAATCCAAAACAAGCTCTTAAACCCCATTTAGACCATAATAATCAGTTAGTTATTATCCAAAATGGAATCCATTTAAATTGATTTAAGAACTGAGATTGTAAAAAACACAAACGGGGCACATTGATAAATGTTTAACACCTTCGAATTTGCATAAACGAAATGAACGGTTTCCTATTTTTTGTGCATATGTAAGTGTTCCATTGACCTTTTTGATAAACAATCTTCCTCCGACTCCTCCTCTTTTTTTTTATTTGTTGCTGCTGCCCTTTTATGGTTTGTGTTAAAGTTACGCATTTTACCTGTGGCCCTTCTGACTTTTGCCTCCGCTGTCATAGTCATGAGTGTGTGTGTGTGTTTGGGTTGTGTATGTGTGGATGTGTGTGTGTGTGAAGTGTACAATAAACGCGGATTTCTCTGGCAATATTTGTCTGCAATCATTTTGGCCTGTCGGCAGTTTCCCAGAGTTTGTCTGTCTGTCTGGTTGTCTGGCTTTTCTGGCTTTTCGATTGCCGCCCCGCCCTCCTTTTCGATTCCACCACCTTTGACTTCTCTGAGGTGGAGGGGCTGTGTCTGGGCTCTCGCCACTTCTTTTTCCCCAACCAAACCAGACCAATGAAACCTTCTCCTCCTTTCCGACAGGAGGCAATATCAACACATTGCCAGTTTAGATTAAAATCCAGACATGGACTTGTAGTGCGATTCCTGGAAAGGATTCTTAGACAATTTGTTAGCTCTTAATTGAGTTTGAATGTTAAAGTGCTGAGCTACCTTAAGCTGACCCCTCTCTTTGGGCAATTAACTAATTTGAGTTTGAGTTAAGTTTGATTTGATTATTAATTTAAGTTTCCTACCCCTAAAAATCCCATAAAAACCCAATATTTAACTACTAACTTGGCTTAAAGTTTAAACATATTAACTGCCATATAAGCCCCTTGATAAACCTTCTTTAGATTTATTAACTTTTATCACATAAACTTAATCTCTCTTCCCTGCTTAAACACTCCCTTTGGCCTCATAAATCTAACCCCAGTTAGTCAATCGAACTTTAATCGAACTGCCTTTTTGGCCATTAGGAATCGAAATCCACAACTAACTTAAATAAATCACTTAAAAGTAACTGAAAATATAGACAGGAAAACACGTGAATGCCAAGTCCTTCCAATTAGCCTCAATTACAGGATCATTAAGGATTAGGCTTCAGTAGCTCGCCCTTGTCAGTGGCACAGGAAAAAGTCAGACAAACCTGTATCCTTCACATTCCCATTCAGAATTTTCCCAGCTTCCTACCCTAAAGCGCACCCCTCCTCTTGACAACAGCAGGCAAAAGCGATAACTAACTAAATAAATAACATAAATTAACTAAATTTGTAGACAATTTAGTCTGCTAAGTGTAAAAGTTTTTTGTTTTCCCTGTCGCTGTTTTCATTTCAGTTTTCTACACTTTTTGCCATTGTCATTGTTACTGTTTCTGTTGTTGTTGTTGTTGTTGTTATATTTGTTGCTGTTTCGGCCACTTTTGTTGGCTAAAAAGTAAAGGGACGGACGGGGAGTGAGAGAGCGAGAGGTGAAGGGGATTTTCAAGTTTGGTAACGGTTTTGTGCATTTTTGGTGCTTTTGGCGCAAAAAAGGATACGCTTGGATCTCGGACCCCGTTTTGGGTCGGTCTCCTGTCCGGACGGCTCTTATGTCACCGTTCAAGGATGCGCCCAACCAGGACACACAAAAACACACAAACACACACATACACACACTCTCTAGTTGAAAGAAAGTAGAGATGTGAGGTAGCGACCGGAAGGGGCATGCAATGTTGTGACATCAAATGTTCATGTTAACAACTTTTCCAAAACTCAATGAGCTGTTGTTTGTGTTGTTTGGCGCCCAAGTGTGTGAGCCAGGCGGCTACATGCCAGACAGAGATGGCTATACAGAGATAGAGTTGGTGATAGTGATAGAGATGGCTATAGAGATAGGGAAAGAGAGAAGGGCAGCAGGCAGCAGGCGG